ATTTGTATTTAAAGATAATTGATTAAAATGTAATTTATAATTTATCTTGTTTAATGTTACATATGAATTCGTTTATGTTTATTGTTAATAGTTAAATTAAGATCATAATGTAGTCTTTATTACATAAATCTAGCACGTTAGTGTTAAAGAAAATCAATTGTTATATTAGCGATTTTTTAGTGTAATGATTATACATTTATGTTAAATCAATAAAACGCATTCTTTAAAACGTTAACAAAACTTATTTTTTTTTTAATTTTTGGCTGGTTTGGTTTCATTTTTCTAAAATTACATTTGAGGTTTTTCTGATTCCAACTGGTTAAAACGTTAACAAAACTTATTTTTTTTTTAATTTTTGGCTGGTTTGGTTTCATTTTTCTAAAATTACATTTGAGGTTTTTCTGATTCCAACTGGTTACTTCACTTTATTTCAAATACTAAATAACTATTACTGAGGCTCTTCCTATGAGGCCTCAGTATTGCATTCGTGCAGACGAAAAAATTTTCGTACCCCCATTTTTTAAAACTTTTTTTCATTTTTTCGATCATTCTGAGGGCGAAAATGCAAAAAAAAATTCCTCTGGTCGTCTGTGTGTATGTATGACGGTACAATAACTCTAGAACGAAAGTTCTGATTGACTTACGGTTTTAATTTTCTTGAATAATTACTTCTAACTTAGAAACCTATTGATTTTCAGAATTTTTTGTTTATCCTAATTACTTTAATATCGATTTTCTTAAAATCCGCCTATTCAATTCTTATGTGATAATTTTAGGAATTTCAATTATTTTTATTATCAACATTCCTAACATTCTCAACATTCCATAAATTGCAAACATTTTCTAACTACCTGTCAAACAACAGCTGTTGATAGTAAACGTGATATTTCTAAGGCGGGTTACGACCTTCATACTTGCAACCTTAGCCATTTTGAAGGCTATTTTTATTTGAAATTAGTCGCCAAGCCTGCCAATTTATGAAAAATATACAACTATTTTCTTAAAAATGACTTTTTTTATGGTGGTGCTAACTTAAACGTACTACTATTTAGCCCCTAGCCACAAAAACACCTTCATCAAATTTACTGGCTTTTTGTCGAAACCCCATAGAATAATTTACCGGCTATTTTATTTGGCAAAAAGCAGATTAATGTTTGGCTGTACCTGTCAAGTATCAAGATGTCAACTGTGATGTGTAAATGGCTCTCAACTGTCAAATTATTTAAAAATGTATGCTTTCTTTGATATTTATTTCAAATAATTTGTAGTGTATCTCAATTCAGGCTTAACATAAATAAAGGTACAGCAAGATAAATAATATAATGTTCTTATGCAAACAATTTTTTATTATATAAAAGAGAGTGGCTATAAATTGTCGCAAAACTATTAATAATTTAAACATAGTAAGTAGTAAAACGAGGTAAACCATGGTAAAACGAGGGGTAAAATAACAATAAATTAAGGGAAACACTTAAAAAGGGCAGGTTTTAAGAGTATTATCACAAGAAAGTATATCCGTTCTGTTTATTTATCAAGTATTGTTTGAGGTTACTTTTGAATACATTTATTATTATTTTTTTAATTTCTATAGGTACTCTATTTTTGAAACCTTTAATAAAAATTGTATTTTGGGAACATTTAGTACATGAAAATATTGGTTTCTTGTATTATAGTTGTGATATTGTGAATTATATTGAATTTTTTCTTATAGATCTGATGCGACGGACTAGTCATTTTTATTTTAAAAATAAATATCAGTCATGTACTGAACATAATTCTAAACTGAAAGCCAATTTATTTCTTATAACATAGTTGCAATACTCATCCTTCTGTCCTTTATTAATAAAATATAAATAGGCGAAGTAAGGAGCCCAAATATTTTACATGAGCAGGCCTAAGAGGTAAAGGAGCCAATTATTATTCGACAAATTGCTCGAACAAGTTTTTAAACCCTAATCAAAAGGTGATATATAATGGTTTTAAAAATTAAGGCTTGTGAAAATCATTTCATGATTTAACCTAAGTAGTGTCAATGCTCCACAAAACAAAAAATTTAACGTCCTAATACTACTATCAGCTTTCGGTCTTTCGTTCCAAGTTAAATCATTTCTCGTTTTTTTACGCTATGAGTTTATCCTTGTGGGCCTCAGTCTCGATAAGGTGGGAATTACCAGTTTAGCGCCTCTCGAATTTGCAAAATATTTATTGATTAAAATTGTAGATTAATCAATAATGACACACAAAAAAGAAACGCGTCAGTGATAATTTAGATAAATATTTAAAAAAATATTGAGGATCTACTTCAAAACTATATAAATAGGCTATTGCGATTTAATTCTAAAGCATTCTTACCCTATATATTAAAGGTATTTGCAATACTTTTTATTTCTGAAATAGTTATTTTAAAGGTAAGTTGTGATCAAAATATCTAATTTTTGTTAACTAATGGTATTCAAAGTAGACAATAAATTTATATATTTTTTTAATTGCAAATATTTAATTTTTTTTTGTTTCATGTTCTTTAGTTTTATATTTTATAATCAATCATCTTTTTTTTTATTATATTTATAATAAAATAAATCAATAGTTACTATTTATTACCTCTTCTGATTGCTATTTTAAATCTATTGTAATAGTTTTTATTTACAACCATATATGTAATGTTGTCATTACTAACGTTATTAAAGGTTGGGAAGTGTCACATTACACACCTCTACTTCCCGCCCTCACTTCCCGCCCTCATTTTATCTATTCTAGATGAATATTTTTATATTTAAAAAAAAAAATAACACATTTTTGACAAATGTTATAATACCTATTTAATGGCAAACAATAAAAAACAACAATAAACTAAATATAACAAATTACTTATTGATATTTATTATTCGCGAATTTAATATTCGGCTTTATCTGACATTTATTTATATTGGTGACAGTTGTTTACCCCCGTAATCACAGTAACAATATATTTACCTACTTGATTATTCTAAGAAAACCGCGCGCTTGGTAATTTGTCGGTAAATGTAATATTTTAGGTATGTTCAAAACAAAACAGAGATTTATTAACTTTGATCGAAATATGATGGTTGTAAATAAAATAGTATACAAACCTCGGTAGAAAGTTTCATTCCTATCTCGAGATCATAACTAACCTCAAACGCTTCGCGTATCGGTAATCTAATTAATCTCACGACAGGAATGAAACTCTTCCCACCTCAGTGTGTAATATACTATAGTTAAAAAACACTGTGTTAATCATTTAAAATATTCATCAATGGAAGAAAGTTCTATCTTGTCATTTTTAAATAGTTTATGGTGTAAACAGAGTAATATTTAAATAATTCTCCAGTATATTTTAATAATTATCTACGTAATTACATGGTATTTGAGTAAATATCTGATAATTTAGTAATTCTATGGTATTTTTGTTATGACCTAGTATTTAAATTTAAGTAATTCCATAGTATTTAAGTAATTTTATGAAAATAAAAGTTTATCTTAGTTTTTCAGAAAAAGAATACAAAAATGAAACTTCTAGTTGTATTAGCCGCCTTTATAGTGGCCATTAATGCCACTTTGGACCACAAATCTTGGTCCAATTTTAAGGTATATTTTATTTTTTACCATAAATTTTTTTTTTATAATTTAACATGTATTTTTATATTTTTAGAAACTAAACATTCCTTTACATAGTTTCTATATAATCAAATAAATTTTATTTTAAGGTCACTCACTCCAAAAGTTATCAAAACATTAGAGAAGAGCATTTGCGCTTCAACATCTTCAAAAATAATTTGAAAAAAATTGAAGACCATAACGCTAAATATGAAAAGGGTGAAGTATCTTATTACTTAGCTGTTAATCACTTTGCTGATATGACATCAGAAGAATTTATGGCAATGTTAAATAAACAAATTTCCAACAGACCTCATTTAAATAGCACTCTGTATGAACCAGGAAACGTAGAAGTAGACGAGGAAAAAGATTGGAGAGACGAAGCTGTATTAGAAGTTAAAGATCAAGGACAATGTGGAAGCTGTTGGGCATTTAGTACAGTAAGTATTATATAACAAAAAATAAATTATTATTAAATGAATAGTTGACCTGTAATTAATTTATGATATTATAGTAAAGTACTATTATCTTATATAAAATGATCTCCACAAGGTGTCAGTAAAGTCAGCCCTGAAGAAAATGCTAAGTTTCTTCTTGATTAGTTACAGTTTACATTTCTCTTAGAATTATGTAGATAATGTGAAATTACTCACATCTTAATCTTTATTAAGACAAAATCATCGTTGTGTTTGATAAAACTACCAAAAAGGCAAACTGTTTCCGTTTTGTTCATTATGCCGAAAAATTGGGATGTGCTTCCACTAAATTTTTAACGATTTGTGCGTAATGCAAACGACTTTTAGTATCATTTGGCCTCAATTTATATTTTTATGAATATATTCAAGTCTTAATGCAAATTTTTTCTTAAAGTCCGCTTAGACAACTCTAATTACGGAAGGTTTTAGTTCTGACTAAACATTACCCTCATGTTTTCATGAAAATGACCTGAATAACTATTAAAAATTACTTAATACATAACACAAAAATCATTTGAACACATATTCTTGTTCTTAAAAAATTTTTTCTCTGCCAATTCTAGACTAGATCCACTATATAATTTGTTTAGTTCACACTTCTTATTTTCAATTTATATTTTGATGAGTTTTTTTCTTAAAGTCCGCTCAGACAACTTTAATTACGTCACATGTCACCTTTTGGAAGTTTTTAGTTCTTAGTGAACATCAGCCTCATGTTTTCTTTTAAATGACTAGAATAACTAATAAAACATAGCATAAAAAATATTTAAACGCATATTCTTGGTCTTATAAAAATTTTTGTCTGCCAATTTTTGACTAGATTCACTATATAATATGTTTAGTTTACTTTCCTTATTTTTATGTAAAATAACTTATCTATTTCCTGCTAGCTAATTACTTCTATTTTAGACTGGAGCTTTGGAAGGTCAATTAGCTATCAAAAAACACACAAAAATTCCACTTAGTGAACAAGAACTAGTAGATTGTTCCACAATGAATGGTGGTTGCAAAGGAGGTTATATGATAACGGCCTTCATTTACGTATACGAAAACGGCCTTAGCTCAGAAACTGCATACAAATATACAGCCCAGAAGGATACCTGCAAGAAGGTTGATAAAGTTCTTAATACGATTTCTGGTATTCGATTAGTAGCTGATAATGAAAAGGCCCTTAAAACAGCTGTTGGTAAGTATTTATATATCCATATCAATTTTGAAAGGAAGTAAAAATTTTTATTACTCTCACTTTTTCTAATTTTCAATCATTCTAAATTCGAAAACACAAAAAAATCATCTGGTCATCTAGACGTATGTAGGCACGATCACTGTAGATCGGAAGCTTCAAATGACTTTGAGTTTTGATTATGTATATTTTTTTTACTTATTTATTTTTAGAAGACATATTTTTGTTGAATTTGTAGAATAATTTGAAAATTCAGAATTCTATCTCAAAAATCCGCCTGCAAATTATTAATACCATCCCTGGCAAAAATGCAAATTTAGTAAGCCAGAGTCGGTCCTCTGCGGTTCCCCAACGAAGAAGAGTCCGACCATTAAAATTAATTTTAATGCGGGTGTTTCTAAAGGGATGATCAGGTATAAAGTCAGTTGGAACAGTACAAAAAAAACTGATAAAAAAAATTATTTTAATTTAGCCACATAACATAGGCGTAGGCATATTTTTTTAAATTAGGTAGGTATGTAAAATTATGTTTTAATGATTTTAAAATAATAGTCTTGAATCGATTTGCATCGTTTCGTACAGGACAAAGAGAGAGAGGGAGAGTATTCTAGGAGAGACGGGTGCGGCAAAGACAGGTTCGGTTCTCGCATTTCAGTCTTGCCTCGTCTTATTTTCTTGATCTTCTCGCTGTTATTCTCATTTCGCACATTGGCTTATAACATCGTTTTATATCGCTTTTTCTCGAACATGTGAGAACTCCAAGTTTAATTTAGTTCATTACAGGTGAAGTAAACCCGTAGATTTAATTTTGCCAGGTCTGTATATAAAAAAGATAATTTTCTGACTATAGTAGAATTTTTTTACAATCATATAAAAGTTTTAATATAATCGGTCAATTAAAGTTTTTATTTACTTCACGATTATTTTTAAAAACTAATTTAATTTTTACTATAACGTCACTGGTCATTTTTAATTTTGCAAAAAATCTTCTTCTTATTTACCTACTAATTTTGTTAAACCAATAATTATTGCTTTAAAAATAATTTTACCGAAACATATGTAGTGCTATACAAATTCACCGATTAAACCAGAAAAGTTTATTTTGTTTGAAAAATATTTAGACATGTAACATTTCGTTCAGAAAACTCAGAAGCGGCGCAAGGTGTAGGCGAAGTGGGCCACTGCCTACGGCCTCCCGGTCTGAAGGGCCTCGCACCTCAATGGTTTAATGCAGGTTTCTTTAACTTATGAAAAATATTTATTTTGTTTCCTTCTTATATCTGATCTACCTATATGCGAGCAAAAATCATATAAAAGAATGTTAACTTTCACATTATCAAAATTTGTTTTTTGTTCCAATATATATCTCTCGAAGTGGCGCCGTAGTGAAATAACAAATAGGTAATATCGTTTTTCTACACTTACATGAATATTAGCTTATCTACGCTCAGATTACATAACGAAAGAGTATGCTATTGCGTTCAACTAAACGAATCTATTTCAGATCCATTCTATGTAGTAAGAACACTGCAAAAAGATGAAATCCACCAATCACAGTTCATATTTTGGACACCCAACCACTATTTTTTTTTTATTTGGTGTCATCGGCATCGACTACTAAGGTCATTAGCCTCGTGTTCTGTGTAGGCTTTGTTACTATTTCCCAGCGCCACTTTAGGAACAGCACTGTTTATTAGAACCCAACAGTGAATGGTCGAGTGGGGAATCCTACCAAGGCATTAGAATTAATTTTAAATAATTAAATTAAATAAAAAAATCCCAGCCATCGGTGGGATTCGAACCTGGGACAATTTTTTTTAACTTATTTTATTTTATAAATTAATAAAATTCATTAATTATTTTAAAATTAATTGTTTTGTCTTAACAACCTAAAATAATTTAAATTTGTAGAGTTTTGTTAGTGGGTCGTAGAAAAAATATACTGTACAATCTACAATTTTCACTGAAAAAGTATGCTTAATTGGTAGAATTCTGTAACTGGGCCATATATTCGCTTATTTTGTTTTCTGTTTGTATAAACAGATTTTGATGTGAGAATGAGTTCCACTGATTGAAAGGGATAAATATTAAATAAAAAGTAAACCGGTCCATTGAACTAAAATAAGTAAAAAAAGTTTTGCTCGTTAAAGTGAAATATTTAAACTGTTAGGCACATATAGTGTGTCAATTTAAAACTTCTCTTTGGCAATCGTTATATGCAAGAAAATTAAAAATAAACCACTTTATTTATAAAACTAAAAATCGAATTACTATATTTAAAATTATTTAAAGTGGTTCTCGAGTGGGTGAGAGCAGTATTTTTAAACCTTATGAATTTTATAAAGATTTACAAATAATGATCCCAAATTTACCTGATTTCATTAAAGGTGTAAAACAGCTGCTCCAATATATAATAGAAAATAAGTTGAAAGAAATTTATCCAAATATTTATATTGTCATTTAAATTTTGTTAACAGTACTATTAAGTACAACTTCTGCTGAAAGGAGCTTTCCTAAATTAAAACTAATAAAAAATGAAGAAGTACAATTTTATCCGTTGAAGCAGATATAGCATCTAATCTGGATTATGGTACAGGAGTTCATTAAAGCTAAAAGCTGAAAATATATGTTTCTCTTATTCTTTACTGCTAGTAATAATTACTTAATAATATTAGTTAAAGTCTAAAAGATGTTAGCATTTTTATGAATACAAGTTTCAATTTTATTTCTCTACATAAAATCCGTCTTCTTGCGCCACCAGAGGGCCTCGCAAAAATGTATCTTGCCCACATAAAATTTAGGTCTTGCCCCGCCACTGAGCAAACTGACAAATATAAATAAAACTACTTATGGCCCACTTATTACACTCAAAAAAAAAAAAAAAAATAAACAGAAACTGAAACTAGTCAAACTAATTTCAAAAATAAAATTTATAAAAATAAATCTACAAAAAAAGTAGCCCTAGATATTATCAGAGTTCAATTATAACTGGCTGTACAAGTGACAAAAGAATAGATTCATGTTCTTTAGAAACTACATTATGATAAATATGTTGTTTTTCCAAATATCACTGTATTCATCATTAAAAAGCAACTTTATAGGTTCAACAACTTTTTTGCTTAAATTCAAGGATTGATTTTTCTTTCGTAATTGACCTTTAATGTATGCCCATAATAATCAGATTAAATATGCAATAGTAGACAAAACAGAGTATGACCGTTCATCCTTTTCAAAATTCTGTTTTTCTATAATCTCTAGTAAAACTTTAATTGTCGGATTTTGTTGAGGAACCTCCAAGTTTTTCTCTTTCATAAATTCCAAAATATCACTTTTTTTGGTTCTTAGGTTGGGAATTGTTCTCGTTTGACGCGATTGATAAAAGGCATTGTCCATGACGATAACGGTTTCCTTAAGAATATTAGGTAATAGCTGTTCTTTAAACCACTTCTTAAATAATTGTGCCGTCATATCCTCATGGTAATCAGCACAGGAATTTTTAATTTGTTTAGCTGCTAATAACAAAGCATTAGGGACAAAACCATTTAAACTTCCTGCGTGAAAAACAACAATTTTTGGAGTCATCAACCTATCCATAATTAACGACATCATGACTATTAAACCACGTTTCATCCAGGTATATGATATGTCGATTACTATGACGAAAATTTTTAATTTAATAATCCTGCCGAAGCCTAACAATTCGTTGATTCCATTATCACCATTCGTTTGTTCAATTTCCTATGTCTAAATCCACAATCTAATAAAATTTGGGGGAATGTTTCTAGGGACTTGCCAATTTCTTTAGCATTAGCAAAATATATAAACGGAGTACACTTTGTAAGCTGGTTATGTTTTTTACTATTTCAACTGATTTTGGAAATACTATAATCTGATCACCAATTCTGATTTTCTCCATTGCTATTTTGTCTTTTTTTTTTAATTTATTTTTTTTTATTAGTCTATGTCCCGATGGGAATATGTGGAGAGCCATTTTTAAATGCAAGCATTTTCTTAACTGTTTATTAACAATATTAACAATAATTATTTTTGCTAAAGTGTGTATTTTACCAACAATTCATCTGTACAATAATTTTTGACAAGTAATTTGTGAATTTTGCACTTTTTATTTAGTTTGATTAACTGGTAATCATCTTTTTAGAAGTCCCGATGATTGATTTGTGCCGAAAGCGCTCGACTAATTTTATTAAACTAGACAGGAATATCTTGGATATTTCTACAACTTTGCACACTTTAAATACGTCTTTCATTTTTCCACAACCTTTGATCATCCAGTGTGTACTCACCTACTACTTTCTTGATAAAATAATATGTTGACTAAAAGACTTGTTAACAAAAAACTAAATAAAGGTCTGAGGTACAAATATTATTGTACGTGTCAAAAGAAATATATATCTACCAAAATACCGCACCTTCTTATCGCGCAAAGTTTGAATAAAATATTGAAATCCGACAACCGGGGGTTGATAATTAATTTAGATAATTCTTATATATTACATATTATATTCAAATTTTTATTTCGAATTCAAACAACATCCCAGCGTATCCCGCCTCGTAGGCGCCGTTTAATTACTTCTGGGAAAAAAAATCGACGCGTCAACTGTAACGGCCGCTAGCTAGAAGACCAGATGTAAACCGATAGGGTTATATTCAGGAATTAATACAGAGCTTTATAGTCTTTATACACCGAATTCACAGTCGTTCTCTTTCCGATACATTTACATATATGGAAAATTTAAGTATAAATACCAGGGTTTTTGTGGGCTGGGGGAAGATTAGCTTTTTGATCTTCACCGAGTCAAGTTAACAAAAAACGCAAATATCCACGTTACCGCCACGGTGGCTCCTTTTTCTTTATATTCTTCAAATATAATTAAAATATATAATTATATATAAATAAAATGGCCGCGTTTTTGTTATATTTTGAGAACGGAAATAAAAGATATCGACGGAGTAGAGAAATTAGTTTCTATAAACGACGGCTTCTGCATAGATAACCAGTTGTCCTTAGGATGACCACCTTTTTCTTATATTGAATATATAACTAAAAGGAGATATATAGTCAGGTTGACCAAGCAGATACACGTTGAATAGAAGCAGATTTCGCTCCTAGAACTGTTTTGTAAGGTTGTATCTACCGAGCGACTAAAATATTGGCGTAACTGATACTGGTAATACCACACTAGTTTAGTTAAACACCAGATATTTTATATCTCCGATTCAACATTATAAAATGTTACTAATTTATTAAAAGTACTACTCTAGGCGACGTTCGTAGTGAATTTCGTCGCCCTTAAGGCTGATCCGACGAACTTGCGCCAGATAGATGCTTTTATCAGCGGTATATTTTTTTTTCTGTAAGATTTCTTTTACGTAGAATTAAAACGATAATCGCACTATTTAAGCAATCAAACTAGTATTTAATATTCCGGGGGAGAGTTTAGACTAACATTAATGGGTTACAGGTATCACTTCATTACTTTTATATTCATTAGCGGGAAAATTCGCGTCTGTGTGTTATTGTCATATTATTGATAAACGTTTATTGTGGGAAAAATTGTAGGGTTTTTATATTGTGCTAAATTATACTATTTAGAGAATCGATAGTGATATTTTGTCATAAATATTAATTATTGTAAAGTCGGTCAACACTCTCAAGTAATAAATAAAGTCATTTAGATGTATGGCCAAAGGGCCGAATTGTAAAGTTTTGGTTGTCTGTAAACAGTACCTGCCCCTTTCAGTAAAGAGGAAACGCACTTTTGATTTTACTTTTAAATGGCAAACAGATGTAGATTGGTAGGATAAAAGGCCTTGATTTGTATATATTTTAAAGTTAGATTGTGGTTAAAAAATATGTTTTCTGTCGTTCTTTGTAAAACAAAATTGGGTAGACAATTGTATCATTTAAGCCGTAAGGAGTGTTAGTTTTGTATATCGATTTTTCGGAAAAAAGGAGATATGTACAGCGGCGGGTAGAATCATGAATATTAAGGAGGGTCGTATTTATTTGTACATATCCACATATCTTTACCGGGACATTACGCTGAAGTAGTCGGTATGTTTGTTATTGATTTAGAATTAATAGGTGAAATTATGTTTGTGGACTAGCTAACGTATCCTCAGAACTGTGATTAATAACAATGATTTGTCAATCGGCAGAGCAAAAGAGCATCGCGCCGAAAAAGAGCCTTAGGCCACCATAGACCACCAGGTACCTCAATAGTAAGGGCATAAAAATGGTATTTCCCTTGCGGGTATGTAAATTAAAGCCTGATAGAGGCTTGGATGGATCTCTACTGAGATAACCCAAAAGTGGGCCTGACGGGCATACCCCTTTATATCAGATGTTCTCCGATCGACCGTTCAGTGTTTTCCATACAGGACTGAGTATGTCAGTACATTACTGCATTGGAATATTAGGGAAAGGCGTGACGTACGGTGAGGTAAATCTAAACTTCGGGTTTTACACATGTTACAAACATTATTTTATATTTCACCGAACTCTTCGTGCTACCGCTGTTCTCTCTTTTATTAGACAATGCGTAATTCAGTATTTCGGTGAAAACGTGTGATTGTATATTAGGAGACAAACAAATATACCAAAGTACTTCCGACTTTTATTTTACCATTTTATGGAAACTAAAAGCTCTGAGGTTAGAAATGACACATTGGAAAGCCTACATAAACATAACGTTAAGCCTAAAAAAGGCACATAATCTAAATGGCCGGCTGTACGAAAGAATAGATGTTAAATAAACAGTATTCTAAATTAATCTCTGTGTTTACTTTGTTCTTCCTCCATTACAGCTACATTGAACTCTAAACGTAATTCTGGGGGTTTTAACATCACTTAGTGGGGATCCACTAGACGAAATTTAGGCCAAGGTTAAGTGTATTTGGAAAACTAGGTTAGAGTCCGGTTTGCCAAGTTACAATATATCAAAATCTATATTAATATATGATTTCAAATAAAATTAAGTCTTCACCATTTTTAATTTTAAACAAAATAAAAAAAGTTTTAGTTGGCTTTAATAAATATCAATTTTAAAAACAAATTGGATATCACCTTTGGTATATTTGTGCCTGTTTTATTTTTAAAAATTTCTTAATTTTAAACATTTCTTAAAGAAGTAATACTTATTTACTTTAGTTTCTAAAAATAAAATATTAAAATGCAAAAGGGTCATTTCACTAATACTTCTATTATTCTTTCTCCATTTTACCTTATCGAGTCTATAGAATTGGTTCTTTCAACTATTTCTGTCATTTTCCATTCTTACGACGGGTCTATGCATTCCAATTATTTTTTTATAGTTTTTTTTTTTTGTTTTCGTTTCTAGTGTTTCGTAAAAACATTCTACTAATATATTTTTTTTTATTTTAGGTAGTGTAGGTCCGATATCAGTTGCAGTATTGGCCAACACAGAGTGGCAACATTATGGTGGTGGAGTTTTTGATCATGATCTATGTTTTCCAAGTGAGTCTAATCCCCTCAACCATGGAGTTCTTGCTGTTGGTTATGGTACCGATGAAAAAGATTATTGGATCATTAAAAACTCGTGGGGTACCAGTTGGGGAGAAGACGGATACATGAGACTAGTTCGCGGTACAAATCAATGTGGAGTTTCAGACGATGCTTCTTTTCCAAAATTGTAAATGTTTTTATCTAAACAAGATATAAAATTATAGTTAATAGTATTTTAATTAAAAAATTATTGTTTCAATAAAACCAATAAATAATAGTACATTACGTAACAAGAATTATAGATAATCGATTACGCACGAAGAGAAAACGTTTACGCACAATTCCGCGCAGTGGCGAGTTCGTAAATTTCACGAGTGCGTAATGGGCTTACAACTCGTGTAGCGTACTATACTTTTTGTACGTCCACTTATTTTCTTCTATTAAATAAAGGACATATTTGCTTGTGTCGCCATTCCATAAATCTTCAATAGGTTATTTCGTACCTTTCTTAGGATTTAGCGGTAACAAATTACATGTGGCAGCTTGAGCTTTTTCTAAAATCTCCGGTGGAGTTCTCATAATTTCATCACTTTTACTACTAACAGACATATTCGTAGGTAAAGTTGAGAAACTGTTCGAATACAATAATTATTTGTTTCAAAAAATGACAATATAAATGGTAGAACCAAAGAATACCTACATAAGCGAAACTAAATGGGCGAGGTGGTTTAACGTCAAATATAGCTGTCAATTTATGTAGAGCAACGTTTGGTATATTATTATTAGCGTTTTGTGAAAATTGCAGTATAGTTAAGTAGTTGTAAGTAGTAATTAGATATTAGTTTTAAGATTTTTATTACACAAAAAAAATTGCGTTGTTCGTAAATTTTAATAAATGTTTTTTGCATTCGGCAATAAATGTTTTATGGTTATAATTTCTAAATCAGTATTACCTACTCGTATAATGATAATTTACGTTTAATTTCTTAGTCTTATTTAAAACGTTTTTTTTTGTTTTTTGAACCATTCGAATTAAACAGTAAATAAACAATATTACAAAAAAGTAATTAAAATATATGACAAACTTACTTCGAGGAACAAAGTCACTGCTATCAAGATGCAATCGAAATGCATGCAGCTATCTACAGTACTTCTGGATATGTAACGTGTGGAGGGTGGGTTACCCCATGCACTAAGGCCTCAGTAGTCCTATTGTGTATCCTCCTAAGATAATAAACACCTCCAGTCTGAGCCAGTCTATAGAATAAATGTAGGTGAGAACGTCGCCAAGAGGTGCATCTCTTATATCGGCCGGCGTTAGCCAATACTCGCCGAAAACAAATTTTCTAATAAATAAAAGCGTCAGGCAATTATAGATGACATGTTAAATGGTTTTATCTTCTTGTTTGCACCCCCTGCAGGATGCGGATTATGACAGTCCCATTATATGGAGATGCTTCCGTATTTATCAATGACCTGTCAGAATACCTGTGATCAGGCGCAGAATCTGTCTAATCATAGTAAAGTATTTGTTTGCTGTAGTGTTGTCAGGATAACTTAAAAGCTCTCTGGGAACTCTGCAGTTTCTTGTTTTACCCCATCTTTCCTTGAATTTCAAAAGGGGTTCTTTAATTTGGTCTGTAACTACCTATGTTATTAGTCCAATAGAAGGGACAGGTCCAAAAAGTATTTGATTGGCTGAATTCTTGACTAGTGAATCAGCGAGAAGGCTAATTTTGCTACCTTTTGATGTAATGTGACCTTTGATCTATCTTAAGGCGACCATATTGTTGATGGATACTCTTGCCAAAGCTTCGTGACATTCTAGTACTAACCCTGAGTAAATTAGTAGTCTGTTCAGGGTAAGTAGTATCTGCTATCTGTATAGATGAGCTTGTTCTTACCAGTCATATTATTTCCGGTGATATCTTTTGCAGCTATGACAATCTCCGTTAGCTACGTTTGAGCTTCATTGCTCACAACTCATTTTATGTTGAGGTTCAAGGAATTAAAGTATATTCCACATCCTGAGCCAGGTGCGCCACAAGGTTTGGCGGCAATGTTCATAAGCAATATATGCTCTTTTGACTCTGTGTTCTAAATGTGAGTTCCATATTAACTTGTTGTCAAAGGAGCTACCTAGGTACTTCACCTCTGCTGCAAAGTTTTGTTTTATGGTTAGGAGCTCCAGAGGTTTTAATTCCATTTTCTTCCTTTTCCTTGTAAAAATGACCATTTCTTTCTTCTTGGGATTGACAGACAGTGAATGGTCCTTGCACCACTGTTCCATAATTAAAGACACGAGTTGATAAAGGCGTCATGTCACAAAAAGAATATTTCGAGAAAATCAAGTTTAAAGTTTTACAATTGCATTACGATATATGGCTCATGATGGCCTTCCTATCTGATGAATAGCCGTTATTTATTAAAATTGGAAATTAGAACTATCACAAACAAAAATATAGTATATTTTAAGTATAATAGGCCATAAAAATTATTTTTTGAAAAAATGTGACATGATACATTTATCCGCTTGTGTCTTCAATTGTTCTCAAATTCCCTATTTGCAGAATGACCAGGGTATTTGCTTACGCTATTGTTTAGTGACTGTCATTATTGTACCTATAGTACTTATTTTGTTATTAAAATAATCTATTTTACATAAGGAACATAGTAAAAATGTTCTGTATGTCACTGTTACTTTAAACCAAACGACAAAAATTTATTAATTTTCATAAGTTTCCCAGTGTATTAAGTTTCCATGCTTTAGTACATACGAAAACTCATTCAGTTTCGGTTGTTGGGTAGGTATTCTTTGGTAGAACGTTTATTTCCATTGCATGCTAAGAATACGGGGTTAATTTTTAAAAACTTGTATAATGTGTTGCCGACATTTAGGGGCATCACTTTTTTAATCCAAAATTTGTCACGCTAATGCTATAAGTTTCTATGTTTTTCAATTGACTAAAGGACCCCGCACACCGCTTATGGAAAAGTGGCGACAGGTTAAATGTCATAAATTTTGGATATGTTTTAGTTCTCGACCTCTTAAGCAATAGTGTTTATGGGACCATTCAAATCCTATGACTGGTTTTTGAGATACAGGGTGTTAAACATAAGAAATACCACTTATTTGATAACGGTTATTTCAGGAGAAAGCTCTTCGATTATAATTTTTTTTGGAAAATCTAATTGTAACATATTTTGGCATTCTACAAATATAAAAAGGGATCAAAATTTATTTTCCCTTACACACAAATAAATTAGGACATGTTTTTGATAAATACTTTTATTGTTAGAAGGTGAAAATATTTACTAAAAAATTAATTATTGCTATATTTATCATATCTGATGATAATAAAAAATATATTAGGTGCCATTTATATAGGTAAATATCGACATAGGACAATATATTTTTGTATAAGTAATAATGTGAAACGCAGTAGTTTTACGGGACTTTTGTTTATTTACCATATGCACAATTATCCAGTTCATTGACTACAGGGTGATTTATTAAATATATTGATAGTTTATAGAATGTGTTAAAAAACAATTTTTTTAAGCACCCTATACTTTTTGATTAGTTCTGTAGAAGTATACATATTTTTTCACTGGCGTATTATCTATCCGTCCTGTAACAGATATTTTCTAAAATAATAGCTTTTTCCTATGATTAGTTTTTGAGATACAGAGTGTTATACTTAAGAAATACCACTTATTTGATAACGATTATTTCAGGAGAAAGCTGATCGATTATAATTTTTTGTGCAAAATCTTATTATAACATCTTTTTGAGTTCTACAAATATAAAAAGAGGACTAAAATTATTTTCCTTTACAGGGTGAGCTACAAGTAAGTAAGGGCGTATTTTTGATAATTACTATTATTGTTTTAGAAGGTATTTACTAAAAAATAAATTATTGCTATATTTATCATGTCTGATGAAAATTAAAAAGATATTATACAGAGTGATTCGATTTTTTTAATGAATGTGAAACTTTGTATTTTTAGTTGATTTTTGTGTATTTTTATAATATCAACATATCGATGGTATTTTGGCAATCTTAACAAAATTGAGATTAATACATTTTCAGATAAAATATAACGTACTATACGATGTAGCAAAAGGGCGAATTTTTATAAAAACAAACGTTTTATTTAAAAAAACTATAAAACCACTGGGCGAATATAAAATTAATACCACACCAAACAAACGAACGTACGTATCAATTTGATGGGGAGTTGAGCCGACGAGATTGTGTCAGTTGTTAGTACTAGTTGTGATGGTGGTAAGAGCACATGGTGTCTTTGGTAAGTGAAATTCTCCCTATTTTGTAGTTAATTAATTGTATTTGATTACCCCTTATATAAATGGGACGTAATGTATATATTTCTCTGTGAAATAAGTAGATAAGAAACAATGGTATATTCGCCGTTTCTTCTATTAACATGAATGAACATTCGTCCTTTTGCTGAATTATAGTTAGGATATTCGCCCTTCTGCTAACTGTTGTTTGTCTGTTATTCTAGATCCGTACATTATGTCATAAAATATCATTCAGTTGGCATTGGAAGGGCAAATGAATTTATAGAAATTGACAGAAATCTAACATCTGCTACCCGTAAGAAAATGGACGACAATTTCTAACCAAAACATAACCGTTGCAAGAGCTTATAAAGCGAGACTATACCTAATACCTATAGCCACAGAAAATTATTAAGGACTGAAAAACTTGTATAGAAAATATTATGTACTATCAATAGAGCATACCAATAATTCTTAGCCCTACCAACGAAACTGTACCTCATAGTCTAATTGAGTTAGATGAAGAAGACGATGTACATATTAAAATTACTTTTTACTTCATATATGCCTATTTTTTTATTTTTCAGGTTCCAGTTGACAAATTACTGAATTCGACCAATAAGTTAGTGAATATTACACCCGACATGTTTTTATCTTGTTTTAAGAATAAATATTTTTTAAGTTTTACTGCGATAATATAACTAATAGTAAGACTGCTGCTTACAAATTATTGTTAACTTTTAGACTCTAATTACTTATTACGAATTCCTGTTATGTTTTAAGTTGTAAAAATAAAGTTTTTATTTCGTAACCTTTTGCCATTACCTTTGTGCCATTATTTTTTCTAAGACAGGAATCCTTATTTTAAAATTTGTCGAAACCGTTATAGAACCAGAACTCTATTATTTTTTCGATTCTTCCAATTCTATAAGCAGGATTTCTTGTTTTTTTTTATAATATTTTTACGTGGATGCGGTACTTTTGTTATATATTTTTGACGGGAAGGAAATTACTATTTTTCACGAGGTACATAAGCTATTATTTATAAAAAAAGCAAAAAGGGCGAATTGACAATAGATTAGTATCTAAAAGGATGAACGGTAGGGCGAATTTACAACAGACTAATAAGTAACAATGGCAGTACACATTTTTCTCCTTTTTTTTATGGATAAATTGACTTATGTTGAAAATTAGTATTTAAAAGTACTTTCCTATATCTATTAAAGATATATAAAGCTCGAAATTTTATTTCTTTTACTTAGAATACCTTAAAATGTTTTAGCCGGTCCTGTAAAATCACAAAAATTGCGTATTCGCCCTTTTGCCAAAATACCATCGATTTGTAGAACTATCCAATTTATTAATTGAATGGTGATTTAATGGATAGATTAATAGTGTGTCAACAAAATTTGATAAATCACCCTGTACTTTTAGTCCTATAAAGGTATTTCTTTACTGTTGTATTAACCATTTTGTGGAAAATTAATTATTAAAAATTACAGCTTTTTAATATGATAGGTTTTTGAGA